TTAAATATTTCTGTGTGGTCATTCAAATATCACAATGGATTTTCAAAAAGACTGACTTTAATAAATAAATGCTAAATCCAGTTACAAAAATGGTTACCTGGTCACACTGATAGCAAGCCATAAATCACCTGAAAAACATTTTGTGTTCCCAGAAATCTCGTCCGGTTCTCGCTTACCAGTTTTGTATGGGCATTGACATGGGTGTGTCAAATGATACAAAAAGATTCAGTGTCGCTTTGTTTTATTCTCATTCAGCCATGCTGCGTTGCAGCGTGTCGTGCCGCTCTCTAGGACTCCTAAACTTATGTGGTAAAATTTTGAAGCATTTATTAGGGTCGGATTATGCATACTTCGCATAACTTCGCACAGCCATTTGTACCAGTGCACTAAAAGTGTAACTTAAGAAAATGTGAAGCAAAATTTAAACTCAACAGATCGCTAAGTTTTTAAAAGTTCTGCTAATTTCTGGTTAATGGAATACATACAGAGTACATACGAAATTACAGTTTGAAGTTTTTGCAAAGTTGTGCGAAGTTATGCGAAGTATGCATAATCAGACCATTAGCTAGCAAACGTGCAGCAAATATTTTGCTTGCATTTCAGCATTTCAGCATCTCAGTCGAATGCTCGGTGTTAAACATGAAGGTAGTTTGTTGACGTTGCCGACTTCGAAACTATTGCTTAAGTAAAAAGTGAAGAAATTACATACATATATATATATGTAAAATAAATCGCTATGGCTTGCCGACCACTGGTATAGACAATCCGCCAACGATAGAAATAAAAGCATCTTAAACAACAATAAAAATAAAAGCAAGTTATCAAAAATCAATGTGTACATATACATACATACGTAGACATGTATGTATGTATGCATGCATATGTAAAACCAAAGTTTACAAGGAAACTACAATCAAAACAACTCAGCGCAATCTTTCTTTCTTCGTTGGAGCAATAGCGTACAATAACAAAATTCATTGATAAGAAAATACCAAAGCTGGGTGCTTGGAGAAAGCGGGAACACTCATCCCACTCCACAAGCAAGCCTAGGGGTGTCCACTTGAATAATACCTCGATGTAAAACATCGTAAGCTTGCATCGATGTTTCACGATGTATCGCTTAAGTACATCGATTATTTTAAGTATCAGGATTACTTTAAATTTTCCATGCTAAAAAGTTACTTTGCCATGTAAACATTCGGTTCATCCATTTTCTATTTTCCTGTAGGGATAACATAAGGACAGAAACTTGAAGAAAATTTGCATTAAACAAATTAGAAGAAAATAAAGTTCATGTTAAAAGGAACTGGAAATATTCTTTTAATTTAATAAATTTTCTGTTGAAAATTTACGTGTTATGCATTTATATACGTTTCTTTAATTTTTTCATCTGTATAATCATCTACATAGGTACATACATATATAGCTTATCATACAACAATTGGTTGAGCCGCCTTCAATCCACACGATTTACTATGTATTCGAGAGTGTAATGCTCATATCATTCCACATAGTCACTCGCATTAAAATACTGAAATAATTTAACTTCGAACAAATGAAATTATTTCCTAAAACAATTTTATTATTCCTTGGCACTAAATCGCGAATTAATTATACATTGATTAGATTTTTTCATAAAAACATCGATGTATTCATGAAAAAACTCCTTATCCAAACATCGTATCATTCCGATGTATCGACGGCTAACGTCGAATAAGTTCAAACATCGATATTTTTTGAATATCCCTAGGAAAGGCTAGACAGACCCAAACAGACTAGAAGTAAACATCAGTTACAAAGACGGAGGTTTTATATCAGGGTAACCAACTCATTTTTGAGACTTCCCCGATTTCGACAATGAAATTCCCCAATTTTGCTCGAAATATCGTAAAATTCCCCACCCATAGATATTTCCTAATTTACAAAAAAAAAATATGTATTTTGATATATTGCTGGTCTGTTTATTTTATTTTTAAATGTAAATCATTTATGTATTCATAAACCAAACCAAACTTTTATAAAGTTAGTTAACAAATAAAGTATAAAAAATGTTTATATAATATTTACATAGGTACATACAGTGGTCGAAGAAATTTTAGTCGCAAGAATTATTATATTTTTTTTGTTATTTTTTGCATAAAAATATAGTTCATTCTTTAACAAATACCGTGTAAGTCCAAGTTTCAAACTTTGTGCTATATTTGAAAAAAATTCAACAAACTTTTGTAAAAATTTCGAGCTTTTTAATTGGATTTTCTAGAAAGATGTTGAGTATGCGGTTTTGGTAGCCCACTTAATTTTATTATAATAAAGTGCAAGTTTCGTTTTAGTTTTTTTTTGCCGACGTTTTTGCGGCTTTCTTCCATATAAAAATAAATTATGTTTTTTTGTTATATGAAAGCAAATGCGTCAAGGAAAATTCTAAAAAAACAACTGTAATTTTTGGCCATTTAAGACTTTATTTTTCTAGAATTGAACGATATGAAATTCCACAATTCGCGGAATTCCCCACGAGTTGGCTTCCCTGCTTTGTATGCACGCTTTAAGATGCATATGTATGTACTGCAACAATTTAAATATATTCGTGTACAGACATATGCATGTATGCATTTCACTGTGGAATGTGCCCTGACGGAAAAAATAAGTCCGTTTCAAGAATCAATATATGTATGTACTCAAAATGTAATTATTTGTCAAATAATTTTAAATTAATAGGTCCAATCCCGTATTCCTCGGACTAGAACTAGTAAAACTGTCAAAAACTAAAAATTCACGTTTAGGTGTAAAGTTTTGCTTATTTTTTTACGTAAACACACTCAGCTCAAACATGTAAATAACCAAAAGTACTTTCAAACTGATTAGAATCCACTTAAGCAAGTAAATTAATACTTTTCAACATGCATTATCAGAGTGCACTTTTGCTTTGTTTACAATTCGGTTTGTCAAACACACTACAGCTGATCGTTTGATATATTTACCAGAATTTACCAGTAAAAAATCTTCGGACTAAAACTGGTAACTTCTGGCAGAGAGGACCCTTTTTACTCGATCGATTCCAAGTAAAATCTGACGGTTTGTGACTGGTTCGGACTCGTAAGGGATCGCAACTATTTTTAAACAAATACAAAGCAAGACAGTTTTCATTCAATATTTTCTTTCGCCATCTTATTCGTAAACTTCGTTTTATTTAAGTTGTTGAATTTAAATTACAAGTAAAGTAATTGAAAATAAATTCAGTATGGGACAACTGACTGCCTTCTATGACAACCCACATTAAATAAATTACTTCGCTGCAAGAAATATCAATTAGTTAGTTGTTATTGAAAAAAGCATAAACTAATTTTAATTTAATTGTATTTCCAGCAGGGTAGTGATATCGCGATGAGGCTCATGCAAAAGAATATGAAAATTAGTACATTGTGTATGTATTTATGTACGTAGTATGTATGTACCCTGTGGGGAAAATCTCTAGTTCTGAACTGGGGCGCTTTTAGTCCATCTAGACCCAGTACTGGTTCGCGATAAATCTCTTTTGCATGCAAGCAACTGGCGAATTTAACATGGCGATGTCCTAGGGAGTGTCAATTGCCCCCCGCTGCATACCTTTTTCGATAGTTCCGAACTAGTCCTAAATTCTATAGTTCCGAACCAGTTTTGAAACCGAAAGACGAAAGAAAAAAGTATCATGATTTTTCAATCTTTTTGGTTCTTCCGTGTGTGCGATTTTAAGTTATTTTGGAAGAAATGTGTTTTCAATTTGAAATTAAATGTGTTTGAATGATTGTAAGAAATGTACGTTTACATACCTTTAGCTGTAGCTGAGTTTTCAGAGGTGCTCGCTGTTATTTCTTAGATTCCAGACGGTCCCGAGATGTTGAAATGTTAACACAAATTTTAGTTTTGTATTACCAAGCTATGAAAAAGCATCTGCGAAGCGCAGAATAGAAGCGTATTTGAACGAAAAAGCCGCCGAACACATATCTATGTAAAGTAAACAAGCCCCCCGCTGCATCCCTTATTCAATAGTTCCGAATTAGTTCTAAATTCGACAAATAAGATCTGGTTCGTTCTGCGTCCCGTTTTCTATTGTTCCGAACCATTCCTAAATTCGTCACTTTAGATATAGATGTCTAGTGAAAAAAACTGAAAAAATTAGCTTTTTAAAAGTACCACTTTTCGCCGATTTTTGACTGGTGGGGATTTAGTTCCTATCTTCCTAGTTCATTTTTGGCGATAAAGATCTAGTACGGAACTACCAATTTGGTTCACCAGTTCGGGGTTTCCCTGCAGGGTATGTTTGTATGTGCATGCGTGTGCGTGTAATTGACAACTAAAGAACAAGAGGGAGAGAGCGCATCAAAGTCACAAAGAGTGGGTCGATAATCTCGGCGTGGTTCAGTCGATTTCGCTGCGCTTGCGGTCAGTGATCAGTCAAGAATCGGAAGCGTTGGAGAACGTTTCGTGACCTGTGGATAACTGAGTTCAAGTGTTATTAACAAAATACTTGTAAATATTTATAAATAACCAACAAAAAAAAGTCCAATTTGTGTAGTGTTTATGTTTTTGTCAATAAAGTAAAGATGGAACAACTGACATCGTTGCTGATTACTTTGGCTGCTTTACTAACGCTCCTGCCAAATGTTCTACATGCAAACCAGCCTGTTATTAGCCATATTTCCAAAGACGTTGTCGCCAGTGTAGGTGAAGATGTACAGTTCAACTGCACTGTTGAGAATGTTGGTCGTATGTCTGTTAGCTGGGCCAAACGATCTGTTGTCTTGTCTATGCGAAACATATTAAGTTTGAGCGACCCGCGTTACACGATAAGCGAAACGAGGGACGATGATGCCGGCAGTGCTACTTACTCTCTGAAGATAACGAAAATCGAGGCGAGCGACATGGGGCCATATGAGTGCCAAGTGATTGTGTCTGCAACTGATAAAATTACAAAGAAATTAAATTTATCCATTAAGCATCCACCAATCATATCAGAAGAACGTACGCCGAAGTCCAAACTAGTTACCGAAGGACAGAATTTGGAAGTGAGTTGCCATGCCACTGGTTTCCCGCAACCCACTTTGTGGTGGAAGCGTGAAGATAATGCTATCATGCCGGCTGGTGGTCCAATTCTTTCCGGGCATATACTGCGCATCAAGGAGGTACATCGACTTGACCGCGGCGCTTACTACTGTGTCGCTGACAATGGCGTAGGACAGCCTGACGAGCATAAAGTGCTGATTGAGGTGGAATTCCGGCCACAAATCGCTGTGTTACGTCCCAAGGTGGCACAAGTTTTGGCACACGTTGCTGAATTGGAATGCAGTGTGCAGGGATATCCTGCTCCTGCCGTTTTCTGGTACCGCAATGGTGCCAAACTACAGTCGAATTCCCGATACGAGATTTCCAATACTGCCTCATCGCACGAAACCACAACATCCGTACTTCGCATAGCAAGTGTTTCCGAACCGGACTTTGGTGACTACTACTGCAACGCCACCAACAAATTAGGACATACAGATGCACGGCTGCATTTATTCCAGCCGGTGATTCCAGTGCCTTCTTCTCTTTGAGATGAGTATTAAATTTGAATAATGGTGTTTTCACTTACCTTCGTATTCGTATAATGCGAAGGTTTGCAAAGCTGAAAACGGACGTGCTGTACTCAGACATGAAGTGCTTCGTTTATATTTAAGCTTATTATGTATGTGTGTTGTATTACACAAATTTGACTGGCGAATTTTTTAATAATATACCATGTATGTGTAAGTACATATGTATATCATTTTATTCTTTTTGGACCATTTCTTTTGTCAATTCTTTTAATTCAATTAAATTTGATTGACTCGAACAAATAACGCACACGTTTGGTTCTTTTGATTTCAAAGAGAATGATTTAAGGTTTGTGATTACGCTTAATACATACTCTTATATATATGTGTATATACGTTTGGATATTAGTATGCAATTACATATACATAAGTATGTAACACTTACATATGTAAGTACATTTGGATGACCGTTATATCGGAATAATATCACATTTCTTTGGTCGCATCCAGTAGATAAGTGAATATTAGTGAACTAATTTTTGATACATTTTTTAACTTTTCTGACTATTTTCGTTGTCTGTGAGATCGACGCATAACTTTTTCGTTGATAACTTTAAAACAAAAAGTGGAAACTCCCTTATTCTCTAAGTATTTTCGCGATTAATCATTATAGCTCAGTTATGCATACCTGGCGTTGCATTAGAGTTGTCACATAAGGAATCTGTTAAATGAGCGCTGCGTGTATGCGGTTACCCAACGCACAGCATTACACATGTAGAAGTCTGTTGGGTTTTGATCCCTAGGTAAAAATGGCATAGCAGTGCGAAGTATGAGTTATTACGCACCGTTTAGCGTATATACGCTGGCTGATAAATTTGTCTGAGGCTGACTTATATTATGCTTTACATTTTCATGGGGTAAGTATGTTTTGGCGGATATGCAAATGTGCCGTTGGCGTAAATTTGTTTTGTTTCATCAGTGAAATATATTAAAAAAGTATTTTGTGCTTTTACTATTTTAGTTTTAGGTATGGCGGATATAGAGCTAGATAGAGCTGTCTTGGAATATACATATATATTTCTAAAGATAAATCACCAGAAAATAACCAGAAGTCGCTGCAGATAATACGCTCTTAAAAATACATTTATATAAGTTTTATGTTCAGTAGATATGTAATAAATTAATAAACTTTTTAAAGTATCATAAATTGAAATTTATTTAAATAAAATTAACAAAGAACTCAAACATTTTTAACCGACTTCAAAAAAATTGGTGGTTATAAATTCGTCGGAATATTTTTTCTTCTTTTATGTATGCCGCCGCATAACTTTGGACCACGTGAACTGATTTCAAAAATTTATTTTTTTTATCAGAAAAATGGTACCTCTACGGTCGGCCCGTAATTTGGTTTACATCCGATCATTGGATCATGAAAAAATTAACGGTACTCCTAAATTTGTATATGAGAATTGAAGTCGGTTGTGTTTTTTGCTTATTACCTAATTACTTGTTTAATAAAAAGTTCTATAAACACAAGATGCGCTCAATTTTCAAAAGTGACAAAAAATTTTAAAACAGTATTTTAGAAAAAATAAATTAATTAATTCGATGAAATTTTTACACTTTGTGTGTATTTTCCACGACTTCTGGTTTTTGGTTTCGATAGAGATGGTGGTTTTCACGATTGCCTAATTTTTCTAATATTTCGAATACCAAAATATTAACTGATCTTGTATTATTTTTATTATGTAGCTCATTTTGGTGGAACGAATTCGAAATTGGCAATTTAAATCTTCGAATCTTTTTTTAATACATATCAGTGGTAAACTCGTAAGATTCAAGCTACAGTTTGTATTTGTATTTGTGTCTTTGAGCCCTCCACCCCTTGTGTGCGCTAATGTATGGTGAACATTTTCAATGTATATTAGACCATGTCAAACAAATAACAAACCCTGCAATACGACCGGAATAAGACTCAGATTTTAGTATTTGGGATAGTAATGACCCTCCCTGAATCACCCCTCTCTAGGACAATTGTAAGAGGTTCCGCGTCGAGCTTTTAGTTTTCCCATAGGAATTAATCGTAAGAAAATGAGTTCTTTCTTTTTGAGGTCAATATAATTTTCTAGGATCAATGGAAACGCTCGAATACATTGATTACATGCCATTTAAGTACTGTGCAGGCTCAGATTATTTAAAATCCTAAATTATCCTTTTTCAATCCCTTGTTCAATTTGGGTCAAATCTAGTAGGTATATACCAAATTTTTTTTTTTGGAATTTAAGTAATATGAGCATGCATAATATTTAAGTGGCATGTAATCAATGTTTCGAGCGCTTTTATTGATCCTAGAAATTTATATTGACCTGAAAAGGAAACAACTCATTTTCTTACGTGAAATTCCTATAGGAAAACTAACTTATTCCGGTCGCATTGCGCGGTCTAATGGGTAATTTCCAAACAAAGTGTACATGCCGGTACGTGAAATTGACGTGAAAATTTGTGTAGAATACGGAACTGCTTTCAGATGTTTCAAGAATTAGTTTGTTTTCTTATATTTTCATTTTTATAAAATACTAGCAGACCCGGCGAACTTCGTCCCGCCCAAAATTAATTTTTCTATTGAAAAATTTGGTCCAACGTTTTCGCCAGCAATTTACGTTCACGTTTGGCTTTGTGGTCGACAGAAGGCATAGCGTCCATTGCCGTCTTAAATAACCAGACGAAAGCATTACAGGCTAACCTAATATTCGCGGCTTGCGTTTTGGTACGCACGCCGACGAATTTGTTTTTTTGCGTCACCCGAAATTGGCTTGCGTGCGTTTGCATTTGATTTCATTGAGCGAAACGTCAAATCAAAATGTTACGCAGAACAAAAATTGGAAATTGAGTTAGCTTCATACGCACGCCGTTCAATTTCGGTTGGTCCCATACAGGTTGTATGTGCATGAGAAATTTTTGACAGTAAATTGACGGCGTGCGTGAATATTAGGTTAGCCTGTTATACCGGGAATAAGTCCTTGCGGCTCGATAGTGATTCGGCCTTCAATCTGTATAGTATAGTTGGTGGCAATTTCTAAAATGGTGAGTATCATTGGTCCACATTCTGTTTAGTCTTTTACATACTGACACTCTTCGGCATTTTTTCCCATACAAAAAAACTATCACGCATTCGTTATACGGAGAAAATGCGCAACATCATCAGCGAAAAAAATTCTCAAAAATCAACGGTAACTTATAGTCATTTAAAACTCACTTTATGATACTGAAATTGAGTGAGCTACAAAACTCAAAATTTGGTTCAATTTAATATTTCTATAAAAATTTACAAAAAAAAATATTATGAAAAGAAAAAAAAAACACTGTATTCTGAGTGTATATATTTACAGATAAGTAAAAGTTTCAATATGTTTGTAAAGCGCCCCGTCCATTTTCTCTATCTCTCTATACCAATTTTCAGGACACTACCACAAATACTTCCAGAGATATACGGCATGAAAAATTCGATATGTATGGGCGATGCCACGCTCCCTTAATATATCGAAAGTCTGCAGTAGGTGTCCAAAATTTCAAAAAATCAGCCGCTCGCGAGATCTCCTCTTATAAAAAGAAGAAGCTTCTCTTTATATAATTAGTGTAGGTAACACAGGGCAACACCGATTTTGATGCGGCAAATGTTAAAGCTGTTTTTGATTGGCTTTTTTTGTGCTGATTAGGAATCCGTAAGTATAAAGTTTCCATCAGCTCCAGATTTTGAGAAAAATGTGGTGAAAATGTCAAAAAAAATTGCTCTAGCAATGAAACAAAAGGTGATAGATAGAACCTTCCACTTAGGCTTAAATTAAAGCAAGAACTACAGACTACTATCCATGAAGGTACTATTCCTGCACCTTGCCCTGATGGTCACCTATACTCATTTACTTTTCATTGTCCAATAATAAAAAAAATGCTGGAAAATTATGCAATTGAAAAAAATGGTGTAAAAATTAGTATTAGCTGTTCAATAAATGACTATAGGTGACCTTAGCGTCAAGGTGCAGAAATGGTATTTTCAGGGATTGGAGTCAGAAGTCCAAGCCTTAATTTAAGCCTAAGTGGAAGGTTCTATCGCCTTTTGCTTAAGTGCGGTGGGTACTCAAACTTCCAAAAATCAGTTATTCATCTTCAACAAATGGTTATAAGTGACCATCAAGTAAAAGTGCAGGCATTTGCAAGGATAGTATTCGAGATTTTTAGCTTTAATCAAAGCCTAAGTGCTAGAGCTTCTCAAATATTGAAAAAACGCGATTTTTTGACACTTTGACCTCGTTTTTCTTAAAATCTGCTGGTGATAGAAACTTTCTGCTTACGGATTCGTATTCAGCACACAGAAACTCGGCAAAATAGCTTTAACATTTGCTGCATCAAATGTTTTCCCATTTTTGTTGGCCTGTGTAATAAGTATTCTTAAATAGCCAATACCCGCATGTTTGCGCCGCCTTCAAACACCTTTTGAACTGTAAAACAATGGCTCGATTCTATTCTACGCATATCTATAATACGGGTATCGAATTTCAAGCAAATCGGACCATAAATAAGACTTTTTCGAATTGATCGGTCCGTGGCCCACTTAACGGAAAAATGGATCCATATGCTAATCTGGGCAAAAGGCTACCAACGAACCAAATGCATTTTTATAGCACAGCTCGACTCCTGCGCCACCTATCGGAAAAATTAAAACTTTGTGCACTCCTTCTTCTAAACACCTTTCCAAAAAAGCAGCACCCATTCGAATCGGTTATGAAACATAAGAGAAAATTGTTCCCAATTGATTCATGTTCCCAATGAGTTTCCAATTATCCGAAATTTTACAAGCTTTCGTCGAAAAAAATTCAAATTTTTCGCGCTCTTCCGGATTTTTCCGAGTTATCTACTTAGAGTTTTCTATTTTTCCATTCGAATGCCATTCCGAAGGAGTTGCATGCAAAAATCCATACAAGAAAAACAAATTTTCGATTTTTCCAATTTTCCGACTTTGCCGGAGGATTTTGCCAAAATTTTCTCTCATAAAAACCTTCTCCTGGCAATTACGAACAACTAAAAAAAAACTTTAGCCAAATCGGCCCAACCGTTCTCAATTGATAAATTACAATACTTTTTTCACACCATTTTATATATATAGATTTTCCAGAATGTCCCTTTTTTAAAAGTAGGTTAAAGGAATAAATAAGTTTAGACACTGTTAGAAAAGAGTACACTATCCGATAAGCATCGTACTGATTAGATAGAGAGCGAACAACAACAACAGAGGTATGCACGCGTTAATGCGAAAT